GCTGGGCCTCCTGTGTCTCTGGTTCTGCTGCAGAGGCAGCGCCGCCCGTGGCTCCAGGGCAGCCCAGTGGTCGCCCTGCACAATCCGGAAAGGCCGCTCTTGGGGGTCTAAGAAGGAGCCAAAGACACCAAGTAGGCGGGGCCTGAGTCTGGAGCGAGCGTTTTTTGGGGGGGGATTGGGAGTTTCTCTCATCCCCTGTTCCTGGTTTGGTCTTTTTCCTACACTTTGGCTCTGAGTTGAGTCCAAGAGACTTAGAGCCGGAAACGGAGAAGCCAGTGGCTGTAGCTGCGGGCGCTGGTCTAACACTGTGGGTGCTGCTGGCGGCCTGGTGACAGCGGGAGCAGCTGAACCAGGGACGGTGCCCCGAGGCCGGCAGCGAATGGGTCCAAGCAGCTTGGGGAGGTGGCTGGACATTTTTAAGAGATTCTAAAAATCCAAATTCTATGTGAAAAATTCTAAATGTTACACATCAGCAACTAATTAAATAAAATGAAAAAATACATGGGCTCCCACAGAGGCTCCCCCAAAAGGAGCCCCGCCCCCTGAGCCGAGGGAGCAGGGAGGGTGGGCAGCCACTCCTGCAGCTCCCGCCCGGAGTGAAGGGCGCTGTGTCCCCTGTGGAGGCCAGGGCCTTCCTCACCGTCCTCTTCCTTTCTCTCTGCAGACATCTGTGGGGCCCTCAACGTGACTGTGTCCCCGGGGCCCGTGGCTGACTTCCTGGAGGGGGACAACGCCACTCTCCTCTGCCACGTCTCCCAGAAGAGGTGGGGGAACAGCTTGCTGGCCGTGCGCTGGTTCTTTGGGCGCCCCAACTCCAAGGTGGCCTTGATGGTGAGGAGGAGCAAGCACGGGGCGGTGAAGTACTACGGGAAGTTCCACAACAGCTCCTACCAGCAGCGGCTGCGCCTCCGGGAGCAGAGGCAAGGGAGGCTCCACAATTACTCGCTCTCTGTTCTGACCCTGCGGCCAGCGGATCAAGGGCACTATGTCTGCAAAGTCCAGGAAATCATCCAGCAAAGGAAAGGGTGGACGATCTTGTCCAACAGCTCCTCAGAGACAGAACTGAGAGGTAAGCACTTCCGCCTCCTGGAGAGGCGCGGGAACAGGTCCGCGGTCCTCTCAGGGCCAGGCAGGGCCTCGGGGGCTCTGCTGGCCCATCTCAGCCTCAGGGCCTCGCCCCAGGGACACATCTCAGCCTCAGGGCCTCGCCACAGGGACACATCTCAGCCTCAGGGCCTCGCCCCAGGGACACATCTCAGCCTCAGGGCCTCGCCACAGGAGCCAGGCGGGGTGAGGCAGGTCTCTCTGTAGATGCGGGGCTGAGCTGTATGCAGACAAGGAAGCAAGCACAGGAAGGAGCCAGAGCCTGGCCCCGTGCAGCCCAGCCACCCTCTGAGCACAGCCTCCTTCACATTTGAAAGATGGGACTGGTGGACGCCTGGCCTGCGCTCAGCGTGGCTGCTTTGGCCGTGGGCCAGGCATCCCAGGGGGAGGCAGCAGTGGGAGGTCCCCGGTCAGTTCAGGCCTTGGGGCGGGGAGACTGGTGGCTCTGATCCGTTCCCCAAAGGAACTGCTCCAAGGCTCAGGCTGCAGGGCTCCTGAGAAAGTCACGGACGGTGGGCAAAGGACAGCGTAGCCCTCCCTTCCGGAGACGGATGGGAGGTGTGGCCACATTCCGGAA